TGCGAACCTGGATGTCGATGGTTTGAGTCGGAACGCATGCACTAGCCAAAAGTATGACAATGGAGTTAGATGGCATGGTGAGGTTGACGAGAAGATGGTGCCTGATTGGCATGCATATGCCTTCATGTGTTGGTTACGTGAAAACTCTAGCAGGGAGGACCACCGGACATCTTACTCTAGTGAGAGAGTGGATGGTCAATCTTCAGATCTTGAGGTTGAGGATGGTGGTATGGATTAGCGTGATGTTCATGATGATGCCTTGCTGTTGGAGTTCCTACGGACTAGTATGATGCCAGGCACAGTGGGTGCCAAGGAGCAAGATCGTGCTCTCCAGCCAACGAAGAAATACCGATTGGAGGAATCACATGTTCTCCAGGTGTGGGAGGACGGTATGGTACGAGTAGTACCACATCCAGCTCAGAGAGCACGCATTGTGAGGCATGCTCATGAGGAGTTGGGACATTTTGGAGTGAAGCGTACATACAGCATACTCCTTGGTCAGTATTGATGGCGTGGTAGGCATATACTCAGGTACAGCAGTTGGTATCACGTTGCATGGTTTGTGATCGGGTGATGGCATCGTTCAATGCCCCGACACCAGAGTTACATCCATTACCCATCATGGGATTGGGTTACCGTTGGAGTTTGGACTTTGCTGGACCACGACTTTTGACAGTATGACATCATCGGTATGTGTTGGTCATGCTAAAGCATTTCTCCAAATGGATTGAGTTGGTGGCATTACCTGACAAGGCGAGTGAAGGAACAGCGTATGCCTTCCTTGACAGGGTACTTAGTCACTTCGGTGCACCAGCTAAGGTGTTGACCGATTAGGGTATAGAATTTCATGGTGAGTTTCAGATCTTGTGTGACAAGGCAATGATTGATCATCGAACCACGTCGCGATATCATCCGGATGCGGATGGTTTGGCTGAACGTGTTGTACAGACGGTGAAGAAGGCGTTGCGCAAGTATGTCCCACAAAAAGTGCATTTGGGAACTGGGATATTGAGTTACCATGGTTGGCAATGGGATATTGGTTCAGTTGTCAAGCATTCTTGGCTTCCTTCTCATCATATTTTCTATTGTACGGCCGAGATCCAGACTTTCCAACATCGATTCGTCGTGAGTCTAGCGAGGTGGTGAACCTTGATGATTCGAACATGTGGATAAGAGTATGTTCTCATCATGCAAAGCTTTTTCGGAGAGTTATGCCTACAGCGTTTGAGAATCTTGCGATTGCTCAACATAGAGATACGTTGCGATATGCAATCATTCGGTGAGGAGTTTATTGACCATCGATTTATAGATTTTATGTGGGAGACTATGTCTATTTACAGCAGACTGCACCAACGACATTGGATGTGACAGCAGGACGCACAATCTTGCGAGTGCTGGATGTGTTATCTTTTGGAGTTCTCATGTTGGAAGGTCGTGACGATGTTGTTTGGAAGGATCATGTGCGCAATTGTGTGCCATGTGATCTCCCAAACGTAGATGGTACTATGAATCCAAGCTTAGCAATAGTACGTGCTAGTTTGAGGTGCATGCTTTGTGGGTCAGCTGGTCAGGCGGCCCATATGTTGGTGTGTGATAGGTGTTCTAGGGGATGGCACATGTCGTGTCTAACTCCACCTATCGATGTTGTTTCGGCTAGATGATGGGTTTGTCCTCGATGTATTTCAGAGGGGTAGATGACTTGATCTTCACATGTTATAAATTGCAGATAGTCGACTAACGATGGGGCGACATAGCACCCAGCCTACTGGTTCGCGTACTCACGAACCGCCAGCTAAGGGGGTGAGTTGTACGCTCTCGTGTCCTATGTGAGTAGCATGTCAGCGATGTAGAATGTATGGTGATACGTACTCGCACGACATCTGTCATGTAGTTTTAGTATTTACTAAAAATAGCAGGCAGCCTAGTGTTTCACTTTTGAGGGTGTTAGGATCGACGACGGCTCGAAGAACGTTAGTTCTTCAAGTCAAACCTATTAGCATTGGGAGTTGTGCGACTGCACGTAAGCGTCGACCTTGAGTTTCTTCGGAGTGGGTTGGGCTCGACTTATGTTTGTGACGGTTTTACAGCCAGTGGTGTAGTTAAGACTGATGCGTTTTCCGATTTTGGGGAAAATCGCGTTTATTTCAGTTGTACGCTCCCGTGTCCGATGTGAGTAGCATGTCAGCGATGTAGAATGTATGGCGATACGTATTCGCAAGACAGAGGGGTTGGACTATGAGCTGAATTTTCTTGATAAAAGCTTCGGCTAGACCATTTTGACTATGCTCGTAAGGAGCGAAATAAGTAAGTTCCATCTCTGTCGTTGCGCAATAGTACTCAAATGCCTGAAATTTAAATTCAAGAGCGTTGTCCATTCTAAAGCTTTGAACTGGGTGGTCACAGTAGTGGTTTCTAAATTTTAATAGCATCGCTAAGGTCTTGGGAAACATCATGTTTCTAGTGGTAAGAAGAGAAACCTCTGCATATATATGTAATTCCAGTCATAGAATATTGTTTAAAGTTCATTGATCTACAACATTTTTGTTAAGGTCTATAATTAAATCCATTTACTCTGTAGATATAAATTTCAACGTAAAAGTGATCTCATATCAACAACATGTTTGTATTATAGATTCTTTCATGGATTGAAAAAGTGAATTTATAATACTATCCATTATTCATGGCAATTTTTTTCAAAAGTTGTCTTTACTACAATTATAAAAAAAAAATCTACATAAAACGACCATTTGACACGAGCTAAATAAAAAATTAAATAGATAATTGATACTTTCACAATTTTGAAACTCTGAAAACTTTAGATAGCAACATTAGATAATGAATAAGTAGCATATAATTTATCACATTGAGATAATTTATTTCGTATATGAACTACCATCTTCCATACAAATAAAATTTCAAATGTAATCAAGCTTAGCAAAATCAATTCAAAAAATTCAAGAAGCGCAGAAAAAAAAAATTAGGTCTAGAAATATCATTTCAAGAACTTCTTTACAAACCTAGATTTTAAGACTTATGATAAAATTCAAACGTAGGGTTTTCAAGAATAAATGCATGAATTGAAATAAAAAATATTTAAATAAGTAAAAATATTTAAATAGTATATAAAATTTCAAAGCTTGTATTTTAATTTATACCCTAATTTTCTTTTAAATGAAATATTCGGGTATATATTTAAGAGTATATAAGAATTTTTTAAAATTTTTATTAAAGTTATCAAAACATATGATATAATGTTTTCACTTTTTTGATATTTTCACTTCGAATTAGATTTATTCAAAATATAACTATGCGTGGATTTTCTAATGCTTACGTATTTTTCATAATTGAAGTCTTAGTATTTTTCCATATCAATGTACATGTGATTAGGTTCTGTCTACACAATCACATCTTGATTTTTAGTATAAATTTGTAAATTTTGATTGTAATGAATTTTGAGTGGAAGTGTAACAACACGTTTCACATTTAATAACATTTACAGAATTTGATGTTCATAAAATAAATAAATAAATATCAAAATATAACAATAATAATAATAATAATATTTTTCAAAACTTGTAAATCTCAGTATCTTACTGAAATGGAGGGGTTGAAATGTTTGCAATCTCTGACGATTAGGTCATAATTATAGAGTTTCAAGAAGAAAAAATGACAATTGCAAATGTGTTGATTGCAGATTCTTACTATCACAAAGTCTAATGTGAGAATATGATCGTTTACTATTCTATATGAGAGAAGATTTAAGTGTCCATCAATCAAAATCTGTAAGTGAAGAGCATGAAGAACATACTTTCACCTCTATTATATTTCAGTAATTGAGTTATAGAAAGCTCTGGTAGCAGGCTTTTTTCTATAATTTTTTAGGAAATGTGTGAAAAGTCCGTACTAAACTGAAAGAGTTTTCCTACCTAATATTTTATTTTACCAAGTGTATTCTAATAGTTCTACATGAGCATCGAACAACGCCATTATCATAAACTCCATGGATTTGGTTGTCTCATAATCACATGCTTTCACTGTTATTTGTGAAGAATTTGCTTTGTATTAATGGTAATCACAATCTTAGCTTGACATGTTCCATCTTGTTGCTATTGAAGCTTGCATTCATTTCCTTTTCGCTTTCTCTTTATTACAACTTGATACAGTTTCTGCTAAATTTTGAACCCATTTAAGCACCGACTTCCTAGTAGTCTATGTGGGGTTTTGTGTGTATCACGCAAAGAAGCTCGGAAGAGTAAGTCATTCTTCATTAGGACAGAAGGAAAACTCATTGTGTGGATTCTCAAGTGTTGGGCCACACTTCTAATGATACAAAAATGTAATCATGATAGTCGGTATTGTACGCATGGTTAAAAGCAATGGATCAGAAAGGAAAGTAACAAAAATTCATGATATTGATCTGGTAAAGAATTTTAAAAAACCTCTTACGTATATAACTAGGTCTGTTTCAGCTTTCAAATGGAGCTCGTTGTTCTGAATTTGGATCCGATGCACCAAAAATCACAATTTGAAAAGCAGTGAAGAGATAACTCACAGAAAAACTCTCTACACTTTGCAACCAGATGAACACATCACACATGAAACCAACTATCATATGCGACGAGGACATATGTCACGTAAAAGCTTCCTTCATTTTGCAACCACTTAGAGACATTGAACATGAAGCCCAGTATCAAACTCTGAATGAAAGTCAGGACATAAGTCTCTTAAATACTTCCCTCATTCTGCAACAGGTTGAAGGCATTAAACAGGAAGCGAACTATAAACTATGAGGTAGAGGAAGAAATATGTACACTTTTAAATATGTAAAACGAGTATAGTGATCAAATTTGATAAATCTACAAAGTAATGAAATAATTAAATAAAAGTCAAAATTTTGAAAATGAACATACATTATTTTAATAAGACATGATAGTCAAAGATATAACTATTAATGTTGTTCCAAACAGGAATTTTCAGATTAGATAGTTGCAAGAGGATGCGTTAATAACACTGGCCGTTGGCCTCACATATTGGAGAATAAAAAGAAATGGCATTGAACTAATTAGATATGTACAGTCTCATGACTGTATAACAAACAGGCAGAATCTAACATTGTACTGGACAACGTTGTCATAGTCTGTAACTTTTTGTCGTTTGTGTATCTGTATTAGACAATTTACCTGCAAAATTTTAAATACATAATTTTGAAAATAAAGATTCCGAAAATAGCTCTCAAAAAGACATTTATTTTGCTCTCACATCTTCCGAATCTAAGCCGGAAGATAGTACTGTACGTCAAAAGGTACATGTCATCATATGCTTCTTCAAACATTTCACGGGTTTATTATATCGTCACCTCGAAATTTCAACAGTTTATCAATTTTTTAGCTTTAAAAGATTCCACACACTCCCTCAATGCTTCCTCAGATGGGGTGAACACTAAACCAAGTTTTTTTATTTTGTCACAGCAGTAGTTCGCCTCAAGAGGTGGTCCATTATCTTCACACCTGCAAACGAAGATGAGCTTATGATGAAACCGACTGGCAGTGGCCATATCAGATATAAGGAGAAGGAAAGATTATGATGCTCTCAGTCCGAAATTAAAATATGTAACAGATATTGGATTGTACTTCAGGTAATAAAGAAAAACATAAAGTACAGTACTGGAATTACAGCACATCACTTACTTTTCGGGAACGGGGCAATTGGGGCAGATGATTCTTAACATATCTGCAAGTTCCTTTGCATGAATTGCCCTCTCAACCAGCAGGTAACGCCCTTCAGCTGATGGGTCTTCAAAGCCAATGATATGAGCCAAAGCGGCGTCCTTCACATGAAGGAATCCAAAGACTCGATTCGGAATTTCCTTCAGTGAACCTGGAAAAATATCAGCCCAAAGCTTCAGTACCAAAGTTTCCTACATCCAAATCCAATAAGAGACTAACATTGATCGTGCATACCCCAAAACAAGGTGCTCAACGGAATGAACATGTCCATGGTAGCCGAGCTCTGATTGGTGCATGCAAGCTCTCATGTCTAAAGAAAGCGTGTAGAACAATCAGGATATCCGAGTTTATGTTAGTAAATTCTATTCAACACCTATTTCAAGTACTAGGGGACTAAGGCACTCTGATGCAAATTGATGGAATCATTTGAAACTCTGGATGCTTGGAAACTGGTGTGTGAGTCAGCTGGATGAATATTCTCACCATTCAGATACTTTAGGACAATCAAAGTGCTGGCATTTACTGAGCCTTGCAAAATGGGACCAACCATAGTGCCTGGGTTCATGACCACTACGTCCAAGCCTTTCTCTTTCGCGAAATCCCACGCAGCTCGTTCTGCTAGTGTTTTTGAAAGGGCATACCATCCCTGGGATTCAAAATCCAGATGGTGTCAATCTCTACAAGTACCAGCTGTTATTCATGAGCTCACATGCATAATTTTAAATATTCATCATCTGAAACCAAAAAAGTCCGGATTTTACCTGGAAGTTTCTGCAGTATTCCTCATCACTCCACCAGGTTTCATCGAGAATTGCTTTGCCACTATTCTCGCCAGCTTCAGATTTGAACATGGCAGAAACGGAGGATGTAACAACAACTCGCTTAACACTCTTGGATTTTTTAGCAGCCTCGAGAACCGTTAAGGTCCCCTTCAATGCAGGCTTGAGAAGGTTGTTCTGCACAAAGATGAGAAAATTTATCAAGACAAAGTTTACAAAGATCTTAATCGTTGATGTATGAAGGACGCTGTAAGATTTGTGAAGCCTAACATTCAGAATAATCTGCTCTATTTTGCTTGCGCATTACAAGCCCAAGACGATCCATCCACATTATAGTCGTCAATATGTCTTCGCTCATACAGTATGAAAACTTCAAATACTACACAAATGTGACATGTTTCTACAATGTGAATTTGCTATATAACTAGAATGTTATTCCAACTCACAAGAAACTTTTCAAGTAGGTATGACCTCTAAATCATCTGGTGTGGTGGATGGAACTGGTGATGCAACGTGGAAGACACCCTCAACCCCCTCAAAAATGGCATGGAATGATTCTTCTTCCAACAAATTTGCCTTATAAAGAACAAGTCTTTCTTTGGCTTCAGGCAACTCCAGCAAATGCCCAACTTTGTCGAGGTCATCTAATTTCACGTGGCAATACGTACAAAACGTGAGCATTCCTATCAACTTTCTCACCACATGATTATCAACAGTACTCTTTAGCATTTGTCTGCAAAGGCTTAGAGCGGCGCCATGGCTGGGCGGCGGTTAAAGGTTACGAAGACAGAAACCAACTAGCTCAAGCATTCATAAAATGACCACGGTCAAGACATATATCACACTTGATGGCTAAAATTGGGCAATGATCTACCTAGTCAAGTGCTCAGACTCGTCCTCATGTCATCTTCACATAGATTTCTCTGGTCCGTACTATAATGCAAAGCAAGTAACCTGTCGCAACGCTCTCTAGTCCAAGTCAACGACTTCGATGAGATGAAGAGCTGAATTGTCAATCTAAAAAAGTAGAAACTTGTTTACCAGTCTGTTTTGTTTCAATAGCATCTCTCTTGATTGGAGATACTAAGAAGAAAAACATGGACACTGCTTATAACCAGATGGATAGATCTCCTTGCAACAAACCAACAACGCAAGCGTGCATAGTCTGATGAAGATGCAGAATTTACCAAGGTAGTCAATTATGCGTTGAAAACTTATTACCACGGTTTTACAATTAGAATCTTTCGAAGTATGATTTACATTAATTTGAATGAGAATTCTTGGAAGGCTTACTGGTAACTACAGATAAACAGCTATCATGACTCTTCACCGTTTTGACATGTTCTAGGATCTTCATGACGTTTTGAAAGACAAAAAGAAACGTAGTCATTTCAGAAAACGTCGTCAGTAACAGCAATTGCTTACCTGGATTTCTTACCGTTCCTCTCACATTGTATCCACGTTCCAATAAAAGCTTAACGACCCAGGAAGCCAGAAATCCATTTGCTCCAGTTACAGCAACTGTTCTCCCCATCATCCCTGCCTATACTGGCTGCCTTCCACGTCGAATAGTATTCTGTTCAACTCTGCAAGCTCAATCTGTCATAATAGAAACTAGTGGTCCTAATGAGCATCAAACCCCTGTGATGAAGCAGGCAGTCAGCTCCAAGCAAACATTGAGCATGCAGGAAACTACAGACTCCAACCTGTCTAGTGCACAGGAGTAGGGTTGGCATTGCATGCTTCTAATCAACAGAATCACAAGAGAGTTTCACTCAATATGAGAAATTCATCCAAATTTGTTAGTTAATTCATGAGTTTCTAAAACCTGAGGAATGTCCTCCGCGAACCGAGACACAAACATTCATTGCTGCAATATCATCATTCCATTTCGATCATTTCTGGTGTCTCTCTCCTACTTGGATCTCAAAGCTGTAAAGTTATACGGAATGCTGTAGAACCCACCTCGATAAACAATACTTGTAGGCTCGCAATCGAGACACCTTTCCTTCACCACAAGTCAGGACATGAGCTCGCGACCTGCACGGATGACACAGGGCAGGAACTTATCAGCTGTCAGTGTACTCGTTTGCGAAGAAAACAACATCTGTATGAAGGCAATGCTACTGACTTGTCTGTGAGCCCAACGCCAACAAGAATCGCCAGCACAGACTCCAATAACGTAGCTTCTGACCACATCCATCTCACTTACCGTGTTCGCCACCGGACGGTTTTGGCGTGAAAATGCGGGTTCGAATGTGAGCTCAGTCGACAGACTAGTGTGTCAATTTGAAGGAAGGACGGGGGAGGAGGGCAGTATTGGTTGGTGTTTGATATGGACGTTAGGAAGGCATCTTCACTGTGGGTTAGTTTTAGCTGCGCAGCAGACTTTTACTTCTAGCTTTCACAAAGCTGGTGCCAGGATCTTGAGTTTCTACCAAAGCCGTCACGTACGATAACAACTTGATGAGTACTATTCATCGAGCCCTGAGAGCAGAAAAAGTTGTCCGTGATCCTACGGTGGTTTTCCCTGCAAACAAGCCGCGAGGTGACACCTTGACGGTCTAGACACGGTAGGAGACCAGTCAACTAACGAAATCGGTGGACTGTGTGGATGCCAAATCATCAAGCACCAGTCCGTTCTTCTTCCACAAACTCCGCCTTGTTCTTACTGTACTTTTACGGGGATATCGACGGCACGAGAGCGGAATGGGATGATTTTTCGACCAGTCATCATCGTTCGCGAAACTTGTGGCCAACAAACGGTTTCTCTTCTGATGCTTCTTCTCCTAACGCGTCGCTAGCCATTTCCTAATGTGGACCTTACTGGAGTAAGGTCCAGTAAGGTGCAACGTCGGTTAAAATTTGCGTTACAGCTCCCACGGTTACCAGATGTTTATCACAAGAGTCAAGTGATCATCATGAAACTATCAGAGCCTAGCCCTCCGTCGTATTCTTCTTTGTACGAAGTCACAGGTATTCCCATCGTTTTTATTCCTTTCATTACCATCAAATCCAGAACAACCCTCCGAACTTTTTCATATGTCATTTGAATCATAACAGTCCGGGTTTCCTGGTTATGTTTTCGGCGGGAAAATTAAAAAGTGAATTAAATAATCAATTTCAGGAGTAAATAAATTTAAATCTAAATCGAAAGGAAATGAAATCATAAAATATATTCACTTTCTTCAAAATGAGAAAAGTCCACACTGATAATTTTGTATAATATCAAGTTTAGAGGGAAAATATTCCACCTATATGCATATTAGGATACTTTGGCTACTTCCGACCCACTTACTACTCATACAAGAGTACAGTAAGTGTAATCATCCTTCTATGACTATGTCATGAGTAGGATATACAATCATATTTACCTCAATAGGCATTTGATACACTCACATCGATCTAAATATGAGTTTACTAACCTCAAACCGACTGTTGTGATATTATCGCCATATTTTAAAATTTCCTTTTAGGTGAAAATTATGCAATTGACTAATGTTATACTTCTTATTATACTAATTGTACTTCTAATTAACAAAAACCATTGTCATTTTGATTTCAATGTCATGATTGTCAAAGGTAAATGGATTATCCCATATTCCATGCCTCATGGAGGTCTCATTATGATCATGACGGAGGTAGACAAAGTTTTTTCATGAATCATGAATCTATTCTATAATCAATTCGTGATTTTCTCTGCAATACTACACTCCTTGCAACACACATATGTTTTACTACCAATTCTAAATTTCGTGTCACTTATATTACGATTAGTTTTGTTTAATAGAAGAAAGCTAACTTTTTAGTTTAAGAGAAATTATAAAAATCATAATAAAAAAAATTGATTTAAAATCTAAACAGTTGTGCAAAAGTTGGAGTATATTTAGAAAAACCCAATGATCTAAGATATAATATCACGTCTTATATAATACATCTTTTAATATAATTACATACTCAAAGTATAAATCTTGAACTCTCTACTAACGAGTAATATAAAATTGTCATACAATCTTAGGCGCTGGGAATGTAAGTTACAATAGCAAACCAGAATCTGATATAGTTGAGCTAACGTAAAACATGTTTCAACCTTTTAGCATGTTTCATCCTGAACTAGCAAAGTGATGCTTGATTCACATCTTTTCAGTTTACCCTGGAGACTACAAAGTGAGAAGACGATCCTTCACACAAATATTAGCCGGATCTTGAGAATCCCAAGTCTTATAAAAATGTATTGCCAACGCATTGAGTTGAAAATGATTTCGATTACAAGTAGTGGGCCTTTAGTAGTGCCAATGAAGTCATTTTTCAGATGGTACTTTAGACTATGAACAAGTTTTAAGAGAATTTCTTACTTCAGATAGAAGATCTCAAAGTTTTGAGATAAGAGTGTTTGATATGTCAGGTGGAAACCTATTCAGGTGAAAGTCAAATGTAAGTTCAAACCGTATGGCAATGGTTTGACATGGTTTTGAGAAAAGGGCCACATCCTATCTCAAATCCTTGCAAGTCACTGACGTCATCTGTTTGCATATGGCTTTTGATGTGGGATGAAATTAGGTTACCTTATGCACTTGAAATACTCCTCTGTTGGAGTCTATGAAACATGGCTCAATGTTTGGCAGAAACCAGATGCTTGTTATCCACATCTTCCGTGAGAGTCTCGTCAGGACGGCTCTCACTCTGCAACAATGAAAGTGCAGAAGAATTGTGCTTGTACTGCACAGCGTCTGCGTATCTTCCAGGAGTAAAGAATAACAGACCTTTCTGGCCAATGTAACCCGTCTATAGCAGATGAAGGTCAAAGCTGGAGTTCTAGAACTTCAACCTACTTCCAGCTAACGTCAAAACCAAAGTTTCTGTTCACATGGAGATTTTTCAGAAACAAATTCTCGTACCTTTGTGTATCAGTCGTGATAAAGAGAAAAGACGTCTCTATGCCTGAAGGATGAATGTGGGGAAGATCCTCCAAGCCAGAAAGAAAGGTGAAAATGGCACAAGACTTTTTTTTATTCAAAGAGCGCTGGAAGCAATCGTGTGCAGCGCGTGCAACAGAATTCCTCAAATTGCACAATCCACTCACTGAGTCTGAAAAGTTAGATCGTGAGATTTTTCGAGTGGATAGAGATATTCTCAAGACTGAAGATATGCACAATCCCCTTCAAAAGCCTTTGAGAAGGAGCATTTGGAACGGGGAAGTAAGCTCTTCGGATGAAGAGCACTTTGTGTACGGTCCTGAAGACCCAAACACGAACTTCCAGATCCTTGACGCAGAGCATAACGTTATGTCTTCAAAGCCTGATGCAATCGGAACGTTACAGTGCGAATAGCCAGCCAGTTGAAGCCGTCGGATATGAGATTGCATCCGACGAAAAACCTCAAAAGAATCGATAATCATGGAGGCGCGTGATTACATATTGCCAGGATTGGGTTTCAAGTATGCGGGACTTAAAAAAGAGGAAGGAAGGACTTTCCCCTCTCAGACACGTTGGATAGGATAGGAAATTTGAGGAATACAACAACAACCTGGCAACTTCCAGTGCCTACGTTGTTTTTTCGCGTTGAAAATTGTTAAGAGGTTTTTCACATAAATAGCAGCATCTAATTTGAAAAGTAAAATCTCTGGATCTGGCGCTCGTCATTCTCTTACTGCGATCCTTGATTCTTTAGTTTACTCATTCAGCACACTAACATTTTTCATCAATTATTGTTTCTAACATATTGGGTTCTTTTTTTTCTAATTCTTTTGAATTTCACTCTGTTTATTTGGTACAATGGGGTTTATGAAATTTAGTTTTAAAATTTACAGTAAAAGTGAAATTTTTAGAGTAACAATTTGCTGATCATTTCAGCATTACCATGTCCTATATGAAAAACCAAGAAAATATAGAAGAAATAGTAATAACTACGTGATTTTCATTTACGAGCCCAATCTAATTGTTCTCAGTATCTTGTGATGCTATTTATAAAGTCAATAACACAGATTCTACTTTTAAAGAAAAGTACTTATCGAAGTTGTTTCACTATTAAAGAAGTTCAGATTGAACCAATTAACTATCCTCTCCTCGATTAAGGGAAAGTTTGCGTATTGAACAATGTAAAGTAAAGGAAGAAGTTGATGGAGAGAGATGTGCAAATATACGAGCAAAACTTACAAATCTTTCAAGTTAACGATTCTCGAAACGTGATGTTGGAGTTTGTGTTCTCCATGATTTCGAACATCACTGCCAGGTATGAATTCCATCATATTGCTTAGTGATGTATATCGCAACAGATGAGCACAAGAAGGTGAGAATTGGAGTTATAAGCTTTCATTCTATGAATTCTAAGCACGACAGAAAATTGTTTTAGTATCTAAATGTTTGAAGCTCTATAATGAGTATCTCTTATCCAATCACCATATTGTTTTTCCTCTGTTTTTGAGTTACAAAGTGAATTATATTCTCTCTTACCTGCAGCTATAACAACATTGAAGGACGAGACAGTAAGAAGTGATGGAACGGCAAATATTGATAGAAATGATCTTTCGCTGATTGCAAACATTCTCATGTCTTCAATTTCAAGATGGGATGCGTCAAGATACGCAGTTTTGTTCGAAAGCCAAATCTGCAAAATTTGTTTGATACGCTGATTCCGGCTCATGGCTCCAGAATTTTCTATATTATTACATCTTCAAGGATTTTTTGGCATATTTTTGTTTTTGTTTTTTATTTTTGTTTTTGTCTATCGTATTCCATCTGATGCAGTTGTATCTTATGCAGGTGTTTGTATCAGCATCATTTTTGGCTGTGATTATATATATGGGTTTTCACAAGTTAGTGCATGAACAGAAGGTTTCCCAGGTTACCGTTCCAGGTATCAAGCATTGCATTATCATGAATATACGATTCTCATACCAAAACTTCATCGTGAATTTTAGAAATATTGATTGAAATCTATTGCAAACAAATTGTTTAATGGATTTCAATCCATGGCAATAGCCGGATGTTATCGTAAAATATTTTCTAAGCTTACTGAAAAGTAAAGTCCCAACTATGTAATGGTCAATATGCTTTTGCGGTGATTATCTTCGTTGGTCTGGTACGTGCTAATTTTCTCCACAGCTGGACTTCAGTTTTGTCTCCGGACAATTCTTGTCTGAAGACGGGACCTCTGAAGTGACTTTGTTGGTCCTCTCCTACGTCGGCGTTTCTATCTGTTTACGTATGCAGCTAAATCTTGCAGATGGTGGTTGTCATCTGCGAAGGTCAATACTTTCAGAATGTTATGCTTGCTGGCTTGCATACATGCTCAACGCTGCAAAGCAATCAATTACACCGTTTTTGGGGAAATGATCTTTCACTGGAAGGGCCAAGCCATGCTCTCCATTCCGGGCTGCTGAATTCCAGCTTATGACATTGGCCTGTGCAGTTGGCGGTTGTATTTAGGAAGTCC